ATATAAATGAGTTTCATATTAACTATTTTTGTCTAGATGAATATCATGATCACATTACATTGGTAATACAATTGTGATGTTAAACAAACAATATTGATCCCTGAAATTTTTGGTAATACCAATGTTCACTTTGTCTGGTTTTGTTGCAGCATGCCCCATTTTATTAATCACATAATGTGAAGAGAAATTATTATCCCTTAATAAATGATTAATAATATTATTATTTATCTCTCCAGAAACAATAGATAAATTATACTCTTAAACCTTTCAAATATCTGCCACATCCATCATAGGATCATGCATTTATGCAAGGCCAAGGCCATCCCATTCTTGAGCTCTTTTTTCTTTGCAAGGATCTTTTCTAATGCAGCTTCATAAAGTTCAGGTTCAATAGTTGTATATAATACTGGATAAATAACAATATTAGGTTTGTTTTTTAACTATATTATCATTGTTACTGGTTTGTTGATTTTTTAATTGTTTTTTTAACAAGAAAAAACCCATGATTAACATTTATTATAATGTATTTTTTTTTTTCAAAAATAACTAGAGCTTGGACTAATAGCTTCTAATGTTACTATAATACTTACTCATAAAATGCTTCTTCTCTACCCAATTGTTGCTTACTTTTTTTTTTATCTACTTTTAAACTAGTGCTTGAACCAGTGATTTCTAACATTGCTCTGATAACACTTACTTATTTATGTTTGCTAGTATCAGTAGTGCAGATATCCAGGTTTTAATATTAATTTTAAGTGTAATCACGAATTTGTGTTACTGTTTTTTTAAAAATAAAATAAAACTGCTCAATTAAAGCTTTCAATGGAATATTCTCTGCAAAAAGTTACAACTATACAAAAATGGTGTAATTATTTTCCCACATGTAGCTTGATTGATGGTTCAATAAATGTAAAATACTCTAATCTTTCATATGAATATTACTTTATGAGGATTTTGGACAATAAGTTTAGTTGCATCATTGTATTGTCAGGGAACCTTAGTCTGACTGATTATTGGCCTTATGTACATGAGGAATGTGAGAATGACTGTAGTGATATCCCATCATTAATTGATTAATTTCTTGTGCTCCAAGTGATATACATGTTATTTTTTATTTTCATACCTGCAATTACAAAATATTGATAACAACTTTCCTATAAACAAGGCCAGTTAGTCTCAACCAAACTAGGTGGAGGGTAAGCACAATGCCATTATCATTTTCTTCATGCCTACTTTCTTGAGAAATGTTGAAACACACATAAAAATAATAAAAACCCCCTTGGAAGGAAACATCCAAAATATACATTCATGTGATCATAGTACTGAACATCAAACTTGTAGTATCCCTACACCAATCACAGAATTCATATTCTTCAATGAACAACTGCCAATTTAACTTCTGTGATAAAATCCTCCACTTTTTTCATAAAGACTTTTAAAAATTTTCACATAGTCTGCATAGTAAGTGGATAATTAACTAATTATAATATAATAAATTGATTTGTTAATAATAATATCTTATATAACATTGTCAGCATTTAGTAATTAATATGTTCCAAATGAATCCTAATAACAATATTGTTTTAAGTAAAATATATATAATTTGAAAATCTAATCAATTTAATTTTAGAGATTGAATTTTCTTTTACTATTTTGATCAATATTGATTTAGATCAAGATTCTTTAGATGTTATATTCAAATCCACAATAAAAACCCCATTCTATAACCAGTTAGTTCATTTCTTGGATTTTATAGTCAAATATATTTGCCGCACTATAGTGTAATTAACTGGAGATTTTGATCAATTTATAATGAGATCTTCAATTTAATTTCTAAACACGTCGGTTGCGCGGAAAAATACACATGATTAATTTATATTGATTATTATTATGTAATATCATGCAATATTATGCAGATGCATAAAATCATATCCCTGCTGGTTACTAAAATATGCACCCCTGAAGTTTTTTGAAAAAATTTCAAATCAAAATGTTTATAATATATATTCTCGTTTTGATATCAACGTTTTATTTAATATTTTTAATATTTCACTTAAAATCAAGTATTTCTCACAATTCTAATAAAAATAGAAGTGAATTTTTTAATTTTTTAAAAAATAACAATGATAAATTTAACACAAATAAACCATTAATACTTGGATTCTTTCATCCATATTGGTAATTAATTCATAACAAATTTCAGAGTAACAATAATTGATGTAATCAATCAATTAATTAATCAATCAATTAATTAAACTTATATACATACAGTAATTCTGGTGGTGGTGGTGAAAGGGTTTTGTGGACAACTATTCATAGTATCCAAGAGAAATATTTGAATGTAATATGTGTTGTTTATACAGGAGATGTGGATGTGACAAAGAAAGAAATTTTATCAAAAGTTTTAGTATGTTTGTTGATCACAAAATAATAATAATAAAACAAGCTAAAAGAAAAATGGAATAATATCATTAAGTTAAATTAAATTGTTAAACAACTCCTAGGAAAGATTTAATATTGAAATTAAATCAGAAATTGTTGAATTTATATTTCTACACAAAAGAGAGTGGGTGGTAGATCGAAGGTAAAAAGTGATAGTAGTGGAAGTAATAGTAATAATGATAATGATAATAATTAATAAAACTATATTTCTTTGTACTGTATATTAAATTTGGATTTTTTTAGATATCCTAGATTCACATTATTAGGTCAAAGCATTGGTTCAATGGTTCTTGGATATGAGGCATTAAATAAACTTACCCCGGATATATATTTTGGTATTTTTTAATAATAATAATAATAATAATAATATAAAGTGATTTATATATTTATGAATAAATAATCAATAATAAATGTGATTTTTTAAGATACAATGGGTTATGCATTCACATATCCAATTGCAAAAAAATTATTTGGATGTAAAGTTTTGGCCTATGTACATTATCCAACTATAAGGTAAAAGTAACAAAAATCGATTTAGATTAAAACTCCAATTTTTCCACATTTGTTTACAATTTTTATATAGTTCAGACATGCTTACAAAGGTGCAAGAAAGAAGACCCGGATTTAATAATGATAAAATAATAGCTAAAAGTAGAATATTTAGCGAGGCAAAATTATTGTAAGATTGATTAATTTAACAAATGAATGAGTGAATAAATGAATAATGAATGGATGAATGAGCGAATAATTTATTTCATTTCACACATTTATTTCCAAGATTATATATCTATCTAACTAATAAATTTATTGAATAATTTAGATATTATAAAATTTTTGCATATCTTTATTCATTATCTGGTTCATATACAGATATAGTTATGGTCAATTCCACTTGGACAAAAGGTCACATAGATCAACTTTGGGGTGTTAATGGCAATATAATTTATCCACCATGTGATACGGATTCTTTATCTAAATTACCTTTGGATGGAAGAGAAAGAATTATAGTCAGCATTGCACAATTTAGGTTAATTTCACAAATATTTATTTCAAACACATTAATCAAAAAAAAATTTTTAATATTTATTATTTTAATTATAATTTTAGACCAGAAAAAGATCATGAACTTCAGTTAAAATCATTGCATTGTTTACTAAGAGATCATCAAGATTTTCGTGAAGGTTCAGGAAAAGTAAAGCTTGTATTAATTGGTAGTAGTCGTAATTTAGCTGATGAATCAAGAATAGAAGCATTAAAGGAAAAGGTCAAAAAACTTGGTATAGAAGTTAGTTGATATTTCATCATCATCATCATTATCATCATCACTATTATTGTTACTATTATTGTTACTATTATTTTTAAAAAATAACATTTTTATGCTTAGGAAAATGTTAAATTTGAGGTGAATGCTGATTTCAATACACTTGTAGATTGGTTGTCAAAAGCTAAAGTTGGACTACATACAATGTGGAATGAACATTTTGGAATTGGTATTGTTGAATATATGGTAAACACTTTGATTTTTTTTAAAAAATCTTTTTGATCATCATCATCATCAATATTATTATTTTATTAATAAATAAAATTATTATTAGGCTGCTGGAATCATACCCATTGCACATAATTCAGGTGGCCCTAAGATGGATATTGTCATTCCGTATAATGATAAAACAACAGGTGGTAAATTTTTTTGTCCATGTTTATTAAAAAAACCAATTATTAATCCTGTATTATATATCTATTAGGATTTCTTGCAAATAATGAAGAAAATTTTGCAAAAGAGCTTTACAAAGTATTTTCTTTATCAGAGTTTGAATATAACAATATACAAATTAATGCTAGAGAGTGTGCAGTAAAAAAATTTTCTGAACAAATATTTGAAAACTCAATTTTAACTATATTAAAACCTATCTTGGACCACTGATGTGTTATTTACTTAAAATAAAAATGTTGATCTTTGTTGATAATCACGTTGATATAAAAATAACAGTTAATTAATTTTTAAACAGAATAAATAAACCTGTTTTTAGCTGTTAAATACATAAAAAAAATGTGATATGATAAATACAGAGATAAAGACACATTGTATAAAGGAAATTAGAATTGTGCAAAAATATGGGTTTACAAATTTCTTGCAAAAATCCCTCATATAGTAATAAATTGTGTGAATTTAACATCTCTATTTTTTGTAAATAAATAAAATTCAATGTCATTATAACAGTAGTGACTTGTTCTTCCTTATTATCCATAGTAATATGAATTATGAATTTTTATTTTTGGGAAGCGTGGGAATTAAAATTACAAGGCCCAAATTCCTCCTTGTACCTTCGATCGTCTGCACGTGACTCGCTATGGTTTTCAAGTTTTTTTTTCATGTTAAAGAAAAATCTAGTGATGTTAGCCGGCTAAAAAAAATTTCTCTTGGCATTCATTTTTACGTCTGGAATTTTAGTGCAGAATTCAATGGTATAGACATTTAGTTGAGATGGGTCCACCTACATTACTTTGAATGACAAAAAAAAACATACATTTACTCAAAAAGCCAAATACAATGCATCAAAGCCATGAAAAACCACTGTGACACAAATTTACTTGGGTTTTAAGTGCACCAAGACTCGGCCAATTTTTAGTTTTAGCCGATAGGATTTAAAGCTTGAGTCATGAACAATAAAACTTATCGGTTAGCTTTTTTAAAAAATTTTTGTTTTATTATTTTGAAGCTGACCAATTGTTACTACAAGCAATAATTAATTAAGATACTCAAACAAGCAATAAATTAGAAATTATATTTATTTATTATCCAAAATTTATGATCTATGATATAATTAATACAAGAAAAAACTAACAATATAATAAATAAAATAGTCATCTATATCATTCCGTATTGGTAAATTTTGTGCGATAAACTTTACCAGTATTTTCATTCCTTGCAGTTGCAACAGTAGCTTCCATAGATGCGAAACGTAATGTTAGTAGAACAGAACGATTCAGCCCTAAATTAGCATCGGGCAATTCAACAGTGAAACTGCCCAATTTTTTCATCTCAGGTTCATCGCAATAAGATGCATCGTATTTGGAGGTATAAAAAAAGTTAAAAATTATTGAGGTTTGGTGAGGATAAACAGGAATCATGCTCTTGGAAAATTCTTCATCCACATCCACCTCTGTCCCCTTTCTGGCCATCTTCAAAAACTTATATATCCGATCATCTGACGTTTTACGAGATAGTGGATCACCAGTTTGCTAATATTAAAAAAATATATAGTTATTTGGGATAATATAATAATGATATTTTGTTGATGATGCTTACCCATTTAGGATAAACTCGAACTCCATACGTCCATTTTAGTACTCTTGTAGTCACAGTCTTCATATCAAGTCCATATTCACATGCACCTCTTACAATTGCAGCAGCCGGACTAGTTGGAACTGTAATAAATAAAATATATGTTGAATAATTGCTTTAATTTTTCTTTTAAAAAAAAGTGATGGTCAGCCAACCAACATACTTGCTACTTTCAATTGTTTTTCAAATCTCTGTCTAATCCTAGCTTGAAGATATTTTGATTCACTGAATCCTCCAACCAAAAACATCACCGAACAGTCTGGACATTTTGAAAGTTGTATCTCAATCAACCTCAAAATCTTGTTGATTACTGGGTCAAAAAATGATTTCACGGTGTCAAAATCAAAATCAATGATCCATTCATCCTCATCCGACAATTGTTCTCTTTCTGACCCAGTGACATATTGCATAATTGCAGGACATTTTCTCTGAATGTCCAATTCAATATCTTTGAATTTGGATTTTTCACCAGTGAATGGAATTTTAATTCCGGGACAAAAATATTTATGTATTAAATAATTAACCTGACCATAATGTTTCTCCTTTAACATGTTCATTGCAGATTTTCCTTCTCTACTTTCAACACATTTTAAAAACTCCTCATCCAAATAGGATCTCCTACCGC